ATTTGTTGGGCAATAAACTGTTCTCGTTATTATTATGGTTGGGCTATAGTTTCCATAGTTATTGCCAAATTTTGCAACAAAAACATTTTTTCGTTTAGATGATCTATTAGCTGTCAAAATTTTGTTAAAGTATACTGTTGTTCAATACGGGGGGATATAATATGATATAAATTTTTGATTTTTTTCTTATTCTGAAGCAGCCACGAAGACGGAAACTTACCTAACGAGGTTCCGCTAATACTATGAAGGCTAAATATATCTACCGGGTATTTGTACTCTACTCTCATCATTGGGATCCCGGAAGCGATAAGACATACGAAGTCGGTTAAATAGAGGCAAGGTTGTGCATTCAGGTAAACAAGGAACTGGCACATAGAAAGTTTAGCAATTCTGAGTATTTTCGGAGATAAAGGAAAGAAACCGAATTTTACGAAAATCGCTTTATTTTTTGCTGGCTTTATTTTGAGATGGGATTTTAAAATAAAACGAACACCAACATTGCCTCTCTACAAGATGGCATAATTAGAATTTCAATATGACGTATCATCTCAATCATAAACTTAATTTTTTCTGATACACGCCGCACAGTTAGAGTTTCTAATCCATTTCAAAAATGTATAATATGCCATTCACAAATCAAAGAAACAAATTACCATCCTTTGTATCTATACAGATTAACTGTGATAATATAAAAACTCAAATACATTTAACAAACAAAATAAAAAAATTAGGTGTATATTTAGACTCACATTTAAAGTGGAATATACATATTGATCATGTAATAACCAATTTGAGACAATTATTGTTTAAATTCAAGTATCTAAACAAATATTTGGATAAAAAAAAACAATGAAAATTTTATATCATGCTATGATCGACAGTAGTATAAGTTACGCAATATTAAGTTGGGGTGGAGCACTTAATAACCAAATTAATAAATTATAAATTATCCAAAAACAATTTCTAAAAATAATCTCTGACAAACCACTCTTATACCCATCTGATCTGTTATATTATGAAGCAGAGCTATAAGACCCTAGGCAACAGTTTTTTTATAAAATTATAAATTATCAATTTCACCATAGAAATAATCTTATTCCGTTAGATCACTTATATCAAACTAGAAACAAAATCAACAACATTAAGCAAACACCTTTCACTTCAAAAAGTGTAGGCCAAAGATGTCATACTTACCTTTCCAGTAGATTATATAACATATTACCAGATTATATAAGAAATATTTCAAATACAAAAAATTCAAAACTGAAATCAAAAAATGTATAACTGAAAAAAATCGACAAAAAATTGCAAACATGATACGTATGGAAGAAATTTAAAATTAATGTAATAGTAAACACCCTTCATCGTTCATATACTCGTATATGTGTGTATAGGTGTGTATGTGTGTATGAATATGTGTATATGTGTATGTGCATCTATCTATGTGTTTATTTGAATGAATATATATGTATATGTATATTTATATATATATATATATATATTTTTTGAGACGTGGTCATTGTCGTCTAGACCAGTTAGCTGAAAAATTAAAGCTTCCGCCTTTTGTTGGGTACTTCGACAAAATTTAAGCAAAGTGGACTCTTTATACTTTTTTAATTCTCTCTAGCTTTCAATGGACTTTGCCATCATCATCAGGAGCTGCAATTACAATGATAACAGTAGCAACAAAAGTGTAAAATGAATTTAAATTGACTCAACCTACAGTAGTATGTGAGGATGTTGCTAATTGTTGTTTATGTATAGGATGATATATATATATATACAGGGTGACTTCGAAGTTGAGTCATTTATTTTAACAGTGAGTAGATCTGATCAAAAGAAATGTTTTTTCCTTTACCATTTTTCTGGTAAAATTAAAATAACAAAGTTATAGCCCTTTGGAAGTTTGAGTACCGCCCTGTCTCAATAATAATATTATGTGCTCGTGTTTGGCAACAACGGATATAATCCGCCTTATCGGTTCATCGCATCGGAAACAAAAAAGCGAAAGAATTTGGAACGATGTTTTTACAATTATTTTATTCAGTTGTATACAGTCAGTGTCAGTCGGTAACGCGTGAGTGAATAGTGGTGTCTGTTGCGTGGCTCAAACGAAATATAAAATGGAACATGTTTACGAAAATACTGAACTTGTGGACATGATTCTTATTTACGTGGCATCACGGATTTATGCGGATCGGTTTCCCAATCGAGTGCAACCAACCCCTCGTGCCTTTGTTAATGTAGTACAACGGGCTCGTGAATCAGGTGACTTAAGATCTCACAGGGGACGGCATGCCGGTGCTCCAAGACCGCACGATCAAATACAGGTCCGCACTGAAATACTTGTCAGGAGGATACTTTATAAAACAAGGTAACATTTTTTTTATTTTTTTTTTTATTTTTACACACATATTTTGGTTTATCTTCCTTCTACAATCATTATCTGAAAATTAGTGACTCAACTTCAAAGTCACCCTGTATACATATATATACGTATATATATATATATATACAGGGTTATCCAAATTAAGTGTCCACCATTAGTAACTTTGTTATTAGTGAAAATACAAAGTTGTTTGAATTAGCAAACTAGTAGCATTTTTAACGCTGGTAAAAATGAGAAATAAAAAAAACAATTGAGAGTCGTTATTTTGATTTTTTTCAGTAAAATAACATTTTTTTAAATGGAAACCCCTGTATATTATATTTTTTTCTGTTAAAGCATCAAATTTTAAACAAAAAAGTTCATAATGACTTATCCGCTAAAGTCAAAAATAAAGTCAAAATAACGATAAATATTTTTAATTATTTGCAGTATTATAATATTAAGACGGCTATGAAAACAACATGGCGTTCGCGATTTGACAGCATTAAGATAAGCGACAAATTGTTAAACTGGACATACTCGCAACTAGAAGGCTTTGGAAAACAATGATAAAATCAAATAATGTCAAACATTAGTGTAAATACTTGTTTATAAGCTTTATTGTGTCATTAATTTAAAGAAAAATATTCTCCCATGAAGAAAAGTGTGATATGTTAGAATGCTATTTAGTGTGCAGAAAATCCTCCTTGAGAGCAAGAGAATACTACAGTGAATTATATCCCGCTCGCATTGCAATTGCAGTTATTGGATATTTTGAAGCTTATCGTGAGAATTCAATAGCAGATATTCTCAAGGACTCTAATTTCAGTTATGGTACTGTTCAAAGGATTTTAAAAAAATACAAATTTATTCCGTATAAGTACCGACCAGTTCAAACGCTTTTGGCAGGGGATCCAGAGAGAAGACTTGTTTTTTGCCATTGGTATCTTAGCTTCTGTCGCCAAAATGTAAATAACTTTCGTTACCTTTTATGGACAGATGAATCAAATTTTTCAAATTCTGGAATGTTTAATAGAAAAAACCACCATTATTGGTCAAGAGAAAATCTTTTGTTAGTACATCCAAGAGGCCCACAAGTCCGTTTCAGTTTCAACGTTTGGTGCGGTATAATTGGTGCAAAAATTGTTGGCCCGTTCTTTTATGAGGGAACCCTAACTGGTGAAAGATATGTGGAATTTATGTCAGAAATTCTGACTAATTTCTTAGACGAATTGGATCTTATAAGTAGACATCATCTGCATTTTCAGCACAACTCCAGAGGTACTTATCATTTTCTAAGTACTACTTTTAATGATCAGTGGATAGAAACAAATGGCCCAATACAGTGGCCTCCCAGATCACCAGATCTAAACCCACTTGATTACTTCTTGTGGGGTTACTTAAAGAACCAAATTTACAAGCGAAGGTACGATAACCTTGACGCGTTAAAGACTGCAGTTAGGGAAAAGATAACCCAGATAGATGGTAGGACCATACTTAAGACAGTTCGAGCAGTTGAAAAACGTGCCCAAAAATGTATTGAAGAACAAGGTGGTGTTTTCGAGCATCTTCTTTAAAAAAATTGTTATTGTATTTTGTAAGATTATAAGTTGATGTTGAAAATAAAGTTTGTCGATACAATTTAATTGTTTCAGATTGGAGGCCATAACTTCAACAATTTGTAACCTAGGAGAAAAGTTATTGTAAGCTTTTTTGTTTAAAATTTGATGCTTTAACAGAAAAAAATATAATACACAGGGGTTTCCATTTAAAAAAATTTTATTTTACTGAAAAAAATCAAAATAACGACTCTCAATTGTTTTTTTTTATTTCTCATTTTTACCAGCGTTAAAAATGCTACTAGTTTGCTAATTCAAACAACTTTGTATTTTCACTAATAACAAAGTTACTAATGGTGGACACTTAATTTGGATAACCCTGTATATATATATATATATGTATACATATATATATGTATGTGTATATTTTTGTAAAAATGTAAGTTAATACCCACGCACAAGAATTTATTCTTCTGTGGGTAAATTCAGTTTATTTATGTATACCTATGTTAGTTTTAGTTATATTTGTATGTTACGTGAATAAACTTATTATTATTATTATACATTTTTGGATGCATGATTCGAAATTGTATTCAACTGTGCAAAGGACAAGAGACGAGACGTCATATTGAAATTTTATTCATGCCGGCTTAGAGAGGAGAAAAAGTGGCAAAGTTGATTTCAAATCGCATCTCAAATAAAGGAAAAAATAAAAACGATTTTGGGAAAGTGTCGTTTTCTTAGTTGCCTTAATACGCAATTTTGCCGCATTTAATCGACTTCGAATCTCTTACAGTTTCCGAGATTCCAATGGTGAGAGTTGAATTTGATACACCTGGTATATTTGGAAATAGAACTGGGAATACTTCTCCAGAAAGGTTGTTTTACAATGTCAACATCCTAGGAACAAGGGTGCATTGGCCAGTCCTTGCTGTACAGAGTTCGACAAAGTCAGAGTGAGAAGCCTGGCAGGTCCATCTAGCAGCCACTATAATGGAGGCATGACGAATGGAGCAAAGTCGTTTGGCATATTTTTTCAATGCTAACCTTAACCATATCATTCTGTTCAACAGGAAGGTAGAACAGCCTATCACTACACCCCAATGTGCAAGGATCCTCAGATCGTCCAAAGAATGCTCATCAAAGCAGGCGCTGACCCATCGGTGGCCGACGTCTACAACCGTACCACCAAGTACTACATGGACCATAAACAAGAGTTGGAACTGCCAAGTAGTCATAAATCTGCTGCTAATTCGAGAAAAAGTACTGCTAGAGATGGTAAGTTTTTGATCAAATACTGTACGGTTAAAATATTGAAATTGACACAAAAGCGGGCTAGCTGCAAAGTCTTCCTTTTTTTTGGATAACATGACATGGATACCCTTCCCTGCCTTTTTAACGTCTCTTTACGCAGCTAAAAAAATACCTCAGATTTTTAATTTTTAGTACGGCGCACTGTGGGTGAGTGACCGGACTGAAATATGATAATAAACAGGTTGAAAGACCTGACAATTGAGGCAGGGTTCGTAGGGTATTTTAGGTAACGAAAAATTTTAATTTCAAACCAACAATTATCTTTTGAAACTCAAATAAATCATGTAATCTAGCGCGTAGGGTTCTAAAAGTTAATCACTTAGGGGATAACTTACAGGTTTTATGAGTAGATTTTGTTAATGCGGTTTCCGTACACTATGCGGGAGGTATCATTCAGGCATAAGACCGTAAGACGAGTGCTCTTGTCGCTCGACATCAACAAAGTTTCTGGTCCGGACTTGATTCCTGCCATTGTACTGAAGAGGTGTGCAGCGGAGCTTGCTCCAGTTGTTTTGCGTTTCTTCCAGATATCTTATTAATCCGGCACCTTAACAGAAAACTGAAAATTTGCTCATGTCCAACCCATCCCAAAAAAAGGATCTAAGACCGACCCTTACAACTACAGGCCCATAGCTCTGCTTTATGTTATAAGTAAGGTGATGGAGAGGTGCATAAATCGCGAGCTTCTGGACTACCCCGAAAGTCACAGCTTGGTTAGCGACAGGCAGTATGGTTTCCGGCACCAACGATCCACAGGGACCTCCTAGCCTACGTCACGCAATTGTGGAGTAAACTCATACAGTTTTATGGTGAGGCTCATGTCGTTGCTCTTGACATCACGAAAGCGTTCGATCAGCTGTGGCACGCTGCCCTCTTAAGCAAACTTCCATCCTACGGCCTTCCAGAAAAGCTTTGCAGATGGGTGGCTGACTTTATCTCTGGCCGCAAGATATCCGTCGTAATTGACGGGTTCTGCTCTTCATCCCACAACGTCAACGCGGATGTTCCCTAGGGATCGGTCTTGGCTCCGACACTGTTTCTCTTACATACCAACGACCTCCTTTCCTGCACGATCAACCCAATCCACAGCTTCGCTGATGACAGCACTCTATGTGCAGGAATTCAGAGTGACAAGCCGATCTCTGCCGCTGAGGTGGAAAGAAGAAGACTAGCGACGACTTCCTCTCTGACAAGACACCTGGAGGCTATCACTGCTTGGGGACGCAACAATATTGTACAGTTCAATGCTTCCAAAACACAGTACTGTAGTTTGACGAACAAAAAGCGTACTAGTGCTCATCCGGTCTCGATGGATGGCCGAGTTCTGCCAAAAAGCTATCCTTTCGGCTGGTCGGAGTCCAGATCACCGAGGACCTGATCTGGCACGAACACATCTCGTCAATAGCAGCAGCTGCTGTAAAAAAGATAGGCTATTTGTTTAGGGGTAAGAAGTACTTTTCTCCGCATGACCTTCTCACTCTATACAAGGCTCAGATAAGGCCTAGCCTCGAGTATTGCTCACACGTTTGGGGTGCTGCCGCCCCGACTACATTGTCCATGCTCGATGTTGTCCAGAGGGGGGCGGTCCGACTGATCGATGACTCTTTTCTAACAGACAGTCTCGGGACCCTTTCGCACCGGCGGGCCGTTGGCGATCTAGCTTTTTTCTACCTCTACATCAACGGGCTTTGCCCCTCAGAGCTCTCTTCCATGATGCAGGCGCGCGATGTGCCTGCCAGGCAGACACGCCTGACTTTGGCGTCCCATCCTAACCGTGTGGAACTTCGTACATCTAGAACTGGCCGATACGACCGCTCCTTTGTCCCGATGGTGTCGAGATTGTGGAACAATCTACAAGAGGAAGCGTTTCCCAGTTTTACTTAGGCAGTTCAAAAATCGTATTAACAAAATTTCTTTGGGATCACCATAGCAGCCGCGGTGTTCCGACACGGCTGCTTAGATATATAAAAAAAAATTATCTCAGAATGAGTTTACTTGATTAACAAATAAACCATCAAACTGATAATATGATCTTTACGAATTTGGCCCTAAAATGACCTATCTTTACTTAATATAAGGTGTTCCCAAAAATCCGCCAGTACCTATTCAGATTGCTAGTATCTCAAAATTATAATTCATTTCCATTTTTCTATTTATTCTTTCTGCTATTTTGTGGTAAACTGTAGCTAATTGTAAGTGTCAACGATCTTTCAGCTATTACTGATGCGTAGACGGTATATTCTGAAACTAATGATGAGGAAACAAAGGGACATTCAATGCTGACAGGTTATTATTATAAAATCCAATAAAAAGACTCAAATGCATAGGTTTGTAAGTGGATTAACAGGACAAAGTTGAAAAATTTATCGGGGCTCGAAGTTAGGGGTAAATGACTTCCGTTTCCATGGGCGTAGCAGAAATCGATAAAATGCATACAACAAAAATGTACATTTTTTGCAGAGTTTCAATGGCTAGAGAGTTTAGGTATATCTTGTTTATCAAATTTCTTATCTGACTATAGTTGGAATCTGGAAAATACCTATCTAAGACCAAGTAATCAAAAGGTTAAATTGAAAAAGCGAGTATGGGGAAATTTTCGGGCAAAATCAATACAGCAACTAAAAGAACAACGTAGATGCGGGTGACTCAACTCTACCGTTTTCTGGAAACAATTCCTAATAGCGCAGCAACTAATCGTCAAAACCGATGAGCATTAATCTCCTTCTTTTGAAAGCGCCAATTCAGTTGTGGAACAAACAGATGGGAAATCCATTCGTGGCTGAATAATGAAACGCATTATACAGGGTGTTCCATAATTATTGCGACAAAATGATAGGGGTTGTAGAGGGCATAAAAATATGCAATTTTGCCTTATAAACCCCTGTTCGTAAATATGCCGTTTGAGCACTACCGCTAATTTTACCTTAAGAGAAACAAAAAATTCAACAGCTGCAAAATGTTCGTCTAGCACATTTCATGGTCTCGCCGATTTGTAAAAAAAAGCCTGCTGTGTTTACATTTTTGTTATCGTAAATTCTCCACACCGATTCATTTAATTTATCTGAGTGATGCGTCAAACATGGGTCCAGAAAACTATCTGCCGCGTCGACGTTTTTGTCGTTGGTGGCTGCAGCAGGAGTTGAGGCAACCAAACTTTGGTCGCTACGTTTTGTTCACTGACGAGTCCTGTTTCACAAAGGACGGTTATTTTAATAGCCGTAACAGTCACATTTGGGATGAAGAAAACCCTCATGCCATAGCCATCCATAGAGACCAACATAGTTTTCAATTAACATCTGGTGCGGCATTGTGGACGAGCATATCATCGGGCCATATTTGCTTCCACCACGTTTGGATGGGCATGCTTATGGTCGATTCTTACAGCATGTGCTACCGGAACTATTAGAAAATGTGCCACTGAACATAAGAGCCAACACGTGGTTTCAACACGATGGCGCTCCAGCCCACTTTTCTTTACAAGTGCGGCAGTATTTGGACGACAAATAGGTGGATAGGCCGAGGTGGCCCTGTGCCTTGGCCTGCGCGGTCACCCGATCTGACCCCACTGGATTATTTTCTCTGGGGCCATCTGAAAGCTTTAGTGTACGAAACTACTGTTCCCAACCAACAAGAGCTACTGGGCCGCGTCCGCACATGTTCAGGACAAACCGGGGGTATGCCACAGAGTTCGCCGATCATTGAACAATCGTGCACAGCTGTGTATTGAGCAAGGTGGAGGACACTTTGAGCAATTACTGTAGGTAAGCTGTTTCAAGAAACTGATCTTTTTTTTTTTGCTGCATTCCAAACGGCATATTTCCGAACAGGGGTTTATAAGGCAAAATTGTTCATTTTGATGCCCTCTACAACCCCTATCATTTTGTCGCAATAATTATGGAACACCCTGTATAATTTGAATATCTTCTAGGTATCATTAACGCAATGTTGGGCCACTCTATATAACTATCATTACGAGATTTTTGAAATATAGTATGTTAAAAAAATGACAGATCATTGGAAACATACGTTTTAGAACGACAAACTCTGCAGGCTACGTAGTCGTTACATAAGTAAAAAAATACAAAATTTATCAACTTGGTAATATTCGGAAGTTCTTATAACAGTGATAATCAAATCCGGAATCGGCTATAATGAGTAAGAATGTCAAAAAATCATCAACTTATAGTTCAATTTTTGAGACATTTCCATTTATAGTGGATTCACGTTGTTAGTTTCTTAGAACGTTGTAAAAAATGAGTCATATGTGTTATCTTACAATGAGTAAAAGATCTACTTAAAATTTGTTAGGTCAGCAAAATCTGCTAGGTGTGGTTGTCCAGATATGTGGCAGAAAAAACAACTAGCAATGGAAAGAAGAGGGAGGGGATGATATCCCGTATACATAGTTTCACAAACTTAAGCCAAACCGGTCTCAGTATGGTACAAATATGCCATTCTTCGCACCGCCCCCTGACGCCGTTTTGTACAGCTAAATGAGATTCTTATAGAAGTTCTTTAGATACTACCTTGATGGTTTGATGTTAAAAACCATAGGAGCTAGCACAAAACATATGGAAAATGCGTGCCAGCCGATTTATCTAAAAATTGAGTATTATTACTTGTCAGATTTTCTGGGTCAAGTTCTTTCTGGAAAAAATGTCGAGTTGAACCATATGGAGACTGATGAAGATGAGAATGAAGCTGGTGGAAACGCAAATGAGGTGAGTGTATCACATGAAGGAAAAGGAATTTGTGTAACAGACATTTTAAAGACTATACTATTTCGATTCAAGAAAAACTGATAATACAACTATATGAAAAAATAGATAAACTGAATAAGCAAATTGAGAATTGACAAGATACATCTGCAACTAACAGTAAATCTTATGCAGACATGATCAAAAGTTCTACACATGAAAACACCAACATTACTTCGCCATCTCCAAAAGAAACGGTAAAATATA